AGGGACGTGGGCTCTGAATCCCTGGGGGGACAGGGAGGGCACAGCAGGGACGTGGGCTCCAAATCCCTGGCGGGACAGGGAGGGCACAGCAGGGACGTGGGCTCTGAATCCCTGGGGGGACAGGGAGGGCACAGCAGGGACGTGGGCTCCAAATCCCTGGCGGGACAGGGAGGGCACAGCAGGGACGTGGGCTCTGAATCCCTGGGGGGACAGGGAGGGCACAGCAGGGACGTGGGCTCCAAATCCCTGGCGGGACAGGGAGGGCACAGCAGGGACGTGGGCTCTGAATCCCTGGGGGGACAGGGAGGGCACAGCAGGGACGTGGGCTCCAAATCCCTGGCGGGACAGGGAGGGCACAGCAGGGACGTGGGCTCTGAATCCCTGGGGGGACAGGGAGGGCACAGCAGGGACGTGGGCTCCAAATCCCTGGCGGGACAGGGAGGGCACAGCAGGGACGTGGGCTCTGAATCCCTGGGGGGACAGGGAGGGCACAGCAGGGACGTGGGCTCCAAATCCCTGGCGGGACAGGGAGGGCACAGCAGGGACGTGGGCTCTGAATCCCTGGGGGGACAGGGAGGGCACAGCAGGGACGTGGGCTCCAAATCCCTGGCGGGACAGGGAGGGCACAGCAGGGACGTGGGCTCTGAATCCCTGGGGGGACAGGGAGGGCACAGCAGGGACGTGGGCTCCAAATCCCTGGCGGGACAGGGAGGGCACAGCAGGGACGTGGGCTCTGAATCCCTGGGGGGACAGGGAGGGCACAGCAGGGACGTGGGCTCCAAATCCCTGGCGGGACAGGGAGGGCACAGCAGGGACGTGGGCTCTGAATCCCTGGGGGGACAGGGAGGGCACAGCAGGGACGTGGGCTCCAAATCCCTGGCGGGACAGGGAGGGCACAGCAGGGACGTGGGCTCTGAATCCCTGGGGGGACAGGGAGGGCACAGCAGGGACGTGGGCTCCAAATCCCTGGCGGGACAGGGAGGGCACAGCAGGGACGTGGGCTCTGAATCCCTGGGGGGACAGGGAGGGCACAGCAGGGACGTGGGCTCCAAATCCCTGGCGGGACAGGGAGGGCACAGCAGGGACGTGGGCTCTGAATCCCTGGGGGGACAGGGAGGGCACAGCAGGGACGTGGGCTCCAAATCCCTGGCGGGACAGGGAGGGCACAGCAGGGACGTGGGCTCTGAATCCCTGGGGGGACAGGGAGGGCACAGCAGGGACGTGGGCTCCAAATCCCTGGCGGGACAGGGAGGGCACAGCAGGGACGTGGGCTCTGAATCCCTGGGGGGACAGGGAGGGCACAGCAGGGACGTGGGCTCCAAATCCCTGGCGGGACAGGGAGGGCACAGCAGGGACGTGGGCTCTGAATCCCTGGGGGGACAGGGAGGGCACAGCAGGGACGTGGGCTCCAAATCCCTGGGGGGACAGGGAGGGCACAGCAGGGACGTGGGCTCTGAATCCCTGGGGGGACGGGGAGGGCACGGCAGGGACGTGGGCTCTGAATCCCTGGGGGGACGGGGAGGGCACGGCAGGGACGTGGGGCTCTGCATCCCCGGGCTCGCAGCAGCTCCGCAGGCACCACTGGGACGCTGCTGCGCTCCTGGGGCACCTCTGGATGCGGAGCTGATGCCTCTGCCCGGCTGCAGATGGAGGACCTGGGCCTGGCCACGGTGACGTACCCCACAGAGGGCCGGGACCCCCTCCCCGCCTTCTCCTCCCACTTCCACCAGCAAGTCGGCGGCTTCTTCATCCTGGCCAACTTCCAGCGGTTCCTGGAGACGGCGTACCGGGCGCTGCGGCACCTCACCCAACTCTGACACCCGGCCCCACACCACCGCACCCTATTTATTTATGTCCCGGCCTGAGGGACCTTCCCCGGGAATGCCCAGCTTTTCCGCTTATTTAATATTTATCGCTATTTAATATTTATCTGGCTGGGGATGCTCCCCTGCCCATCGGCCCCCGAGCAGGGCAGCCGGCCCTGCGGTGGCATCCATGCACGGGTATCTGTGCGCAGCATCACCCTTGTTTAATATTTAAACACAAGCGTATCTCTGCTACGAGGTTCGGGAGCTGAGCTGAGCCCTCGCGGCTGCCGCGGGCACCGCGTGTGCCTCGGTTTCCCCATGGCTCGCCTGGGGGGGGGCTGCGGGTACCCCTGCAGCATCCCACCCAGCCGAGGGGGAATGGTCTTCATCCGTGGATGAAGATGCTTCAGAGCAGCATCTCCCTGCCTGGGCTGCAGCCTGCAGGGACAGATCTGACAGGTGTTATTTCTGTTAGCCATAGTTATATTAATTAATATTTATTAGCCATTAGGTAAGGAGGAGGGAGGGGAGGACGGAGACGCCGTAGGGATGCAGCGGCCTCCCAGGATGAGGCTTTTCCAGCACCTTTGGGGGGCTGCAGCTTCACTCTGCCAGCACCCGCCCCCCCTTCCCTGCTAAACTCAGCTTATTTATTGCAGTTTAACTTATTGGCACCCATCTCCTGGCCCGGGGGGAGCAGCTCTGCGCTGCCACAGCGAGCAGGACGCAGTCCTGTCCGCCCTGAGCCTGGCCCGGCCCCGGCAGAGCCCCCTCGGTCTCGTGGCTGTGCCAGCAGCTCCCACCGGCCCACGCAGCCGTATTTGCGTACTGGAAAATTCACAGCCTGCCCCAGCGGGGGCTCGCGCGCGGTCGGTTTTGTACTGTATTTATTGCTGCAGCTGGGTGAGCCCCAGAGAAATACATGCTATTTTTTTTTATATGCAATAAAAATAGAAATAAACCCTATTTTTGCTCCAGACTCTGGGCTCTTTGCCTTTCCTGCTGTCTCCTGCCTGCGCGGGGTGGATGCTGCGTGGCCGGGGCGTGGGGTTGGGCTCGTTTCCACGGTGGTCGCTGGCACCGGCTCAGCAGTGCCCAGCCCGGGTGAAAACCAGCACCCCCGGCCCTCCTGCCCCCGAAGCGTGGCGTAAGCCCCCCGAGGGCCAGGAAGGACCTGCAGGATGGCCGGGTGCGGCTGCCTGGGGGTGGCAGCTTCCTCCCACTCCCCGCAGTGCAGCTTGAGCAAGAGCCGATTCCTAGAAAGCGCCAGAGCCTGCCCGCGCCAGCAGCGCTGAGCCCAGGGCGTCAGCCCAGGACCACGGGGAGCAGCTCTGGGCAATGGCACCGGCCCCAGGCCGGGACCTGCCGGCAGATGGGGGGGTATCCCATGCCCTGGCAGTGCGGCGCAGCCCCTTCCCACACGGGTGTAACGAGTGCTCAGGGCTCTGCAGCGGCAGAGCCGACCTGGGCGCTGTGTCCTCAGCGCGGGCCCTGGGGTCGGTGGCAGAGGGGGGGGCCCAGCCCTCCCACTGCTGCTGCTGCCGCAAGGGGAATCTGCCCCAGAGCTGCCCAGGGACGTGCCCACAGCCCTCCTGGAGCTGCCAGAATGGGCCAGGACTTCCAGCAACGAGAACGGCAAAGCGGGTGGACAAAGGGACGTGCCCAAGCGAAGCCAGCAGAGCCAGGAGCCCTGGGCATCTCCCCCCACCCTGGCAAATCCCCACAGCCATCCCCAGCCAGTCCCCGGCCTCTCCTCAGTCCCTGTGGGTGTTTGGCCACTGCGGGCTGTCCCTGTGCTCCCGGGCTTGCACCAGCCCCGCTTCCTCCCACCGGTCCCATGCTCGTGTCCCATGACCACCAGCATCCCTGCACCACCCTCAGCCCAGCCGCAGCGCAGAGGGAACTGAGCTCCGGGGGGTACCAGGGGATCCCTGTTCCTGCCTTCCCCCAATTTCCCAGCCCCAGGACAGGGCAGGCAGGAGGCTGGAGCCCCATCCCCTCGCCACCATCCTGCCGCGGGGAAGCTGCCAGTGCCGGCGCTTGTTTGGCCACAGACCCTGCCTGCAGCGGCTTCCAAGGGAGCAACCGGCGAGAGCCTTTGCTTCTTCCTCCCCCGGCTTATCAGCACTTACAGGAAACCTCTCTTCCCGCTCCAGCCCCTTTCCTGGAAGGTGAAGTGCTGGGCGCCAATGCCGAGCGCGGGGCTGCCACCGGCAAATATTGACAGAGCTGGGAAGGCCAAGAGCGCCGGGTCCTGCTCTTTGCTCTGAGCTAACGGTAAAGAGCCGCCCCTGGGCGAGCAGGCGCTGCCACCGGCCCGGGGCAGAGGCGCCTGGGCAGGTCAGTGCCAGCTCAGCACAGGACTCACGCCCAAGTCAGAGGCGGTAGGGAGCAGCACAGGCCATGGCACAGCGCAGGCACCGAGCCCTGATGGCCAAGGACCCAACCACCCCCCGAGCGAGCACCCACAGCCACCCTGAGCACAGCAAGGCTCCTCCGCCAAGCACATCGGGGTCTCTCCCTCCAGCAAAGCCCAGGAGCAGCCAAGAGCTGAGCTCATCCGGGGAGCAGGCAGGGGTCAGGCAGGCCCTGAGTCAGCCACCGTCCGGTTTTTCCCGGGCCAGCAATGACCCGATCCCTGCAGCACCATTTCGGGGCCTCCCCCCACCACCTCTCCCCCAGCACCACCAAAGCCCTCGCTTCAGAGTCCCCAAAATGGAGGCTGTGAACCCCGCTAATGCCGAGGGGGGTTGTAGGAACAACCCAGCCGTGGGGAGGCAGCAGGGACCGGGCTCCGAGCTGAGGCAGCCCGAGGGGAAGGCTGGCGCCCGGCTACCCCAGGGACTGCTTCGCCCTTTCGCGTGAGTCAAGCAGAAAATATGAATGAAAGGAGCAGAGGCGAAGTTGTCCTGGCCCTGCCACCCCCTCAGGGTCGGGGTTTCGTGACAGTTACAGGTGGATTCACCACCGAAGCAGCTGACTGGGTGCCGGGACAGCCCCACAGAGAAGCCTCTCCCAGCCCAAGGCTGGCGTGGCGCTGGCAAGGCCATGGTTACTCACTGGTCGCTGGGTGCCATGCTCGCAGCTGGGGACGCAGGGTGAACTCATGCTCACGTGGAAGAATTTCCAACAAGAATTTGCTTGCAGCTTACAGCACGGCAAGAAAGCATCTCCGCGCTCCAGCCAGCCGCACATCTGCAGCTGGCCCAACACGGGCACCCGCTCCCCAAACGGAGCATCATGAGCAACCCACCGCCCTCCCGGGCTTCTCCAGGGTCAGGGCAAGGGGGGTAGGGACAGAGTGAGTGCGATTTCCCTCCCCTGCCCAGCACAGGTCTTGGCCACTTACTCTCCCATCACCCCCACTATCAAGCCCTCCCTGAGGTGAGGGTTTTGGGGAGCCCCAGGGCCCTGGGCTGCAGTCAGGAAACCAAACAGAAATAAAGCACAGCCTGGTTCTACAAAAGGACTGAATTAATTATAGATAAAAAGCAGGGGGTTGTCTCGGTCTCCAAAAGCCCATCACGAGGCAGCAAGGGGATGCAGACCTCGGGCAGGGCCAGGCCAGTGACGGAGAGGCTGTCCCCGGCATCCCAGTCCCAGCCCAGCATCCAGGTTCTCACAGATTTCCCTCTCCTGCACGGCAGAAGGGAGGTGTGCCCCACTCACAGCGCAGCGATGGCCTTGGCAGCGACACGGCGGCCCAGGGGAAGGCTGAGATCCGTGATGGCCAGGACAATTTTGGGACTGGACATGGTGGACACTTTCACCAGCTCTGAAACCTGCCCGGAGAGAGGAGAAAGACGGCTGACTCACAACAGAGACACGAGAGCCGGGCAGCGGGACTCCACTGGATGCGTCCGTCTGTCCCGTGGGACCGGGGAGAAGGACGTCACGGCTGCAGGACTCACCATGGTGAAGGGCATGAACTGGAGGATGCTGCCGCGGCTGCCCTGCTCCAGGCAGTCCACGCACTCCTCCATGAACCACTGGACAAATTGGGTGTGGGTTCCAGCCGTCTTGGCCCCCAGGATGGAAGAGATGAGCAGGAAGAGGTTTGCTGTGGAGACAGGGAAATATCAGAAACCAGGCAAGTTCAGGGAGGCTGAGGTGGCCCAAGCCTCCTGCACAGGGGATGGGTCCCCACCAGTGTCTCGGCATGGTTGGATCCGACCCCACGGCCAGACTTCACCACCGGGTACCCCACTGAGATCCGTCCCCGCCATTACCTAGCACCCTGTTGAGTGGGTCCCTCATGCTGACGGTGTGAAGCTGGGAGGCGGAGAGCGAGCTGCTCATTGAGCGATCTGCTGGGGAGGAGAGCGTGCGTCAGGCTGGGGGGAGGCTGGAACGGCCTCTTGGCCCCCTTGGCCGTGCCAACATGCCCACCCTGGCCAGCTCTGGCCATTTGAGCTTACCCCGCCCTTGAGCTCCAGGAGGGGCTTTGCCGTGAGCTACCCCATGGAGGGGGAGAGGTTTGGCCCATGGTCCTCAGCGCCCTCCATACCCAAACCGAGCACAGCCTTTGCTGCTGGGGCACTCTGGAGCTGTGCAGCAGGCCGACAGTCTGTGCCTCGGTCACCGTCCCTCCATGCCGGGGTGCGGGCAGCCCGGGCAGGCGGTGTGGGGCCACACATGCCCCAGGCATGACGGAGCACAGCAGCCCAGGGAGGGCTCCAGCGGCTGCCACTGCTGCTCTTGGGGTGTGACACTTCACTCTTGCACAAGGCAGATTTATTCTGAGTCTGACCACATTTAATGACATCTCCAAAGGGTAAGCGTGAGTGAGACCATGAGTGTGCCTCCCTGCTACTCCCTGTTCGGTTTTAATTGCAGCAGTGACTCGTCCCTGACGCTCCGCGAGGGCACGAGCCATGTAACGCAATGTCACGATCGGGAGAGGAGAATAGCAGCGCTCTGCCAAGGCGACGCGATGCGCACGCTGCACATCCTGTGCACGCTGCCTGCAGCTGGGCGGAGCGAGCCAGATGTTCAACAGCTGCACAGCAGCGTTCAAATCTCACTCTCAGGGTACAATTTAGCTACCAGAGCTGAGGCGTGTCCAATGGACTAGCATCAAATCTTGGGAAAAACCAAGGGGATTTATTTGACCCGTTATATTGAACTGTGAATCGTGGAATCGTTCAGGTTGGAAAAGCCCTTTAAGGTTGCGTCCAACCATTACCCTAACCCTGCCATCCCACCACTAAACCCTGTCCCTAAGCAGAAGCACTGCTGGGTGCTCCTGCAGGACAGGAACTGCGCCATCTCTGGTCCAACGGGACAGGAATCTCCTGGGAAGGCTCTCGTGCAGACCCCATAGTACACAGCTACTGTCAAAATCAGCAGGACCCACCTTGTGCTGCTCCGAGGATGCTCACCAAAAAAAGAAAGCCCTCCCACACTTTTCTCATGGAATCACATGAGTTACGTGGCTGCTGCAGGAAGCAGCATTTCCACATCGCCACAGCAAACAGCCCAAAAAAGTCCTGAATGTCACTGGAAAGAGGTGGAACTGCCTCAAAAGTTAAAAAAAGATAGTGAAATAAAGGGAAAACCCCGTATTTCAACAGTAATGAAACCAACAAAAACCACAAGTTGATGGATGTGTTGAAAACTAATAAATAAAGAGCAACTTAGGATAAGGGCATCAGGAGAAACAATGACCAAGGAACACCCTGACTCACTGCCCAGGAGTCCAGACAATGTATGTGGGAGCCGTGACAGGACCCTGCCGCAGCAGGAGGGCACGGACACCCCCTGGCACGTCATGCCGGGGCTGTTGCAACCCCACGGCACTGCGCTGCGGGGACAGAGAGACGTGACTGTAAGGACTCATCAGCTCCGCTCGCAGCCTTGTTAACAACAGTGGAATTTCAGGATTTAGCCACAGACATCAGGAACGTCACCTCCCGCCACTCTTGCTGCAGCACACCGGCTCTCCGGTCCCACGCAGACTGGCTGGGGGTGACAAGGCTCTAACAAAACCTGCCTGAGGCCCTCGTGCGTGATGCACTGGGCTGGGTGGCAACGTCACGGAGCGAAGGCATAACCTCATCCCCTTTCCTAAGTTGTTCTGATCAGAGAAAGAGAGAGCTTGACCTTTTCTAAGTGCAAAAGCTCCAGGGTAACTCAGCAAAACACACTTGAGCGCTCTAAAGCTTCACCTGGCCAGCTTGCAAAGAGAAGCGGTCTTGTACACATTTCACACCCAGAAACGAGCAGCGAGGCAGGACGGTGCCTTCCCCGGGAGCCGCCCTCCCCGCCTGCACTTACTGGGGCTGGAGAGGATGTTGGCGTCTTCCTCGTTGGAGCTCAGCAGGCGCATGAGCTTGGAGGGCTGCGTGTCGTCCAGTGGGAACAGGCTGATGTAATCCTGGGGGGGGCAGAGGAGGGTCAACCCCACCAGCCCCTCTCCCAGAGGGGATTCTGGCCCCCCCTCCCTGGGGCTGATGACCCACCCTGAGCTCTGCACAGCCCCATAGCCCAGGACTACGATCTCCATTCACCCAGAGCATCTCAGCCTGGGCCAACCACATACAGATGAGGTCATTACAGCCCCCCTTCCCCAGAAAAGAGAAGGAAACCCCCATATTTTAAGGTCAAAGGACCTCAGACAGCCCAGAGAACCTGGGTAGGGAGTCTGGTCCCAGCTACCCGCTCCTCCTGCCACCATCACCTCCCGCGGACACTGCCCACTCTTACACACAGAGAGCCTCCAGCCAAACCCCACTCCATGCCGGACGCACCTCAATATCCTCTCGGTGCCTCTTCTTCTGCCTGGTGGATGCCTGGCCCTTGTTGTGGGAGGAGTAGGAGCTCAGGGCACACCAGACGGAGAGCCTGGGGACAGAGCAGGGACGCTGCGAGGTGCTGCCAGCGCACCCAGATTGCAGTGTGCAAGGGAAGATGGCAGAGCCCAGAGCGTGCACTGGGATGGGACATAGCAGGTCCCTCCTCAGTGAGAGGCAGCAGGGAATGGGGCCCAGGACACCGGTGTGTCTGCTCCTGTTGGTGCTGTGCCAGGGCCAGAGTGGGAACCAGGGACCCCCGTCCCAGCTCAGTGCATCTCCCCATCTCCACAAACAGGCCCATCCACCCCAAAGGAGAAGGTGCCCGTGGGTCCGGGGTCTTACTTGGCCAGGGCCTTTCCCGGCGGGTCCATGAGGGTGTGCCACTTGGAGGAGTCTGTGAGCAGGTTGGGCAGGATGTGGCCCAGCAGGGTCAGCGTCAGCTGCTGCATGTCCAGGCAGAAGATGGCATAGAGCCGCTCCACAGCTCGCAGCGTGTGCTCCTTCCGCGTCTCCTTCAGCAGCTCCTGCGAGGCGGAGGGCAGGGCTGAAGGCAGCATGGGCACGGCTGGGCTGCCCCACTTGCTTCCAGCGCCCGGGACTGTCAC